ATAAACCCTTTTCAGAATCTTTTTTATCCAGGCAATTCTACAATTTTTGGGTGGGGGTGCCATATAGAACTCTTTCCGGCGCAAATACGAAACGAAAATAAATGTCAAAAAAACAATAAAGTCATAAGTAGTTTACAACTACGTATTAGCATTCAAAAAGCGTTGAAAATAACTCTTTTAATGATCTACCAAAGTGGAAGGGAATCTGTTGTGAAAGAGCAGATGAAACAAACTGAAATTATTTACTAAATTATTAAAGAGCCAGATTCGGGATATCCACACTTTTACTGTTTAAATTATGGTTTTCTACACAGATATATATATAACAACGGTTAAGAAGTATTATGTAACTGTTCTCATAAAAGTAGCTTGCTATTTGCAGTTTAGTGCTAGAGAAAGTTCAGAAGTTCTACAAATCGTTTCTATTAAGTTTTTTTCATTTCAGTTTGTTGCTAATTCAATACTCTCCTACTTAAATGAGCCAATCATATGTATAACTTGATATAACTTTTAAAATATTTGAGGCGGTGCTGTAGGCCTATGGAATAAGCTTCTCTTGCAGAGACAACAGATTACTACCAACCCGAACAGACACAAAACTAAATAAAATCTACTGGTGTACATAGATGATTTTTTTCTATAATTATCCATTCAAAGATTTAAACAACAACAACATATTTTTCACATAAACAGCATGACAGTAAACTTAATGACATAGGAACTCCAAGGGATTTCGTTTCCTTCCATGGTGAATGTCGTTGAAACTGAATACAAAGGACCAAGACATTTGACACTAACATCATGAGCTTTGCTTAAATGATGTCAAAGATGCGTGAGTTTTAAATTAATGTATGAAATAATTTAGAAAGAAAAGGTATAACTTTAGAGCACTACAGAGTCGGAAATTTTTAAAAGTACAAACTCACCTTGAAGTACGAAGACAATGTTCTTGAAGAAAGCATGGTCAGAGAAGAAATGATTGAATTGTGATTCTGTGGACTGGCTGATGATTAGTGAGAGGTCAAGATGTCCAAGGACAGGGATTACTGACGTCACGTTACACGCCTTTGACACGAAGGTGACATTAACCTGACCTTTAAGGAAAACGTATCACTGTGAACACACTCCAAAATTCAACGTTCCTAAAGTCAACTTTTTGGTGATCGTTGACCGGTGTTGACTCAACACACTCAATGGCCCGAAGAAGCGTTGAAATTGAAGAATACAGTACAGAAGCTTCTATGAGGGACCTGCCACTTGTGGTAGGTGACTCACAGTTTACTGTAATGCTTGATGATGCAACTTTTTTCTTTCAAAACCAAATCACTATGAAAACGGAACGTTTCGTTTCGACAGAAACAAATTTATTTCATTTGGTACCGTTTCGAATAAGTTGCTCTTTGTCGCTAGGTAATTTTGGTTCAATGTTGTGTTTTTACAATGATTACATTTTATTGCAGTTAACTCCCAAAGTTCAACGAGTTCCAGTTCTTCTGAAAACGCATTTTCTTTTGCTTGGCGTCCATTTTGTTCCAGGACTACGGACATCGTCGAACCAACCGTGACGTCATGGTTGTTTTAACACCGATTAATACGGATAATTTTGAATGGGTCCTGTTTGACGAACTTCTAGGGATGTCCGTTAAAGCAGTAAACAACACCTAACAACCTACAGTCACGTGACGGGACAGTATTTTTATTGTTCAATTAAACTTAAGCAGTAAACAAAGTCTACGTGTACTTGTCCCTGTTGACTCCACGCTAGCCAAAGTCCAGCGGTGGTTATGATTTTAAATTAATTAAAAAAACTTACAACCAAATTATTTAAACTTTCAGAAACGTTTATACGATAATCGCCTGATTCAGAAGATACTCATTTCGAGATTGTTGTTTTGCGCAAAGCTGCACAATGGGCTGTACAGTGGCCACTACAGGGACTGAACCTCTAAACCACGGGGCGGTCGTATATTCCTGACACGAAGATTTTCTCCGAACGAAATTGATTACTACACGATCTTTAATAAACAACACATTAATTGTCAGATTTCCAGTTGGATTAAGAATCATTTATCGTCAAAAAATATTATTATCTTTTGTTTTAAGAATGTACTCAGTGTCGTGTGATTTGCTGCAGTGTAACAGATTCTAGAGCCTCCCCAGTGGCTCGGCGATAAGACTAATGGTCTTTCACGCTAAGGCCTGGCATATCTAAGGGTCGCGGGTTCGAATCCCCGTCACCGACAATAACGCCCTTTCAGCCGTGGGGGCGTTATTATGTAACGGTCCTTTCTTTATCAAGAACAAACTGGAAATGATCAAGTAAGTCTGAGAAAAGGTGGGTGACGCCACTAAAATATAAACACTTCCTGATTCTAATAATGGTTGGAGACGGCTTGAATGGGTAATGAAGAAAAATTTTAATGTAAGTTTAACATAACAGCAAATGTACAACGTTTTGTCATCATCAGGTACCATTATTAGTCTCAAAGTGGGTTCCTCGTCATCGAACTTCAT